AAGAAATTGAGACTGAAATATTGAGTGGCATCCCCCTCAAGTTCACAGAATTCATGGGTGGCAAGGAAAGGAATGGACTTCAACAGACTTCTGTTGCAGTGAGTTTGGGCGTGACAGACAGATCCTGAAATGGTGACTAAATATGAAAAAGAGGAACTACATGGCTAGAACAGAGCACAGGGTGAACTGATAAGAAGCCACAATCAAAAACACTTTAACAGAACGCCCAGTGTCGTTAAAACAGAGCCCAGCCAGGCCGCGGTTTCTGCAAGGGGGCAGGTGAATGAGGTGAAGAGAGCAGGATAGTCACCTGGAAAGGGAGAAATGAAACCCACCTCAACCTCAAAACCACCTGCTTCAAAATAAGCTCCCTAAATTCTGCCATCTGTGACACTGTGGATGAACCTGGAGGACATTATGCTAAGTGAAATAAGAGAAAGACGAATGCTGCATAATCTCACCTATAAGTGGAATCTAAAAAACCTGAACTCATAGAGACAAAGGGTAGAATAGTGGTTACCAGGGGGTGGGGGAAATGGGAAGATGTAAGGCAAATGATACAAACTTCCCCTTCTAAGATGATGAAGTCCTGAGGATTTAGTAAACAGCATAGTAATTTTATCATTTTAAAAATTTTTTATTAAATCTTTTTTAATATAATTTTTATTTCAGAGAGAAAGGGAGAGGGAGCGAGAGATAGAAACATCAATAATGGAAAGAGAGGCATTGATTGGCTGCCTCCTACACACCCCCTACTGGGGATGGAGCTCGCAACCCAGGCATGTGCCCTTGACTGCAATCCAACCCCCTTCAGTCCATAGGCCAACGCTCTATCCACTAAGCCAGACCAGCTAGGGCGGCAGCATAGTCATTTTAGTTAACAGCACGATATTATGTATTTGAAAGTTGCTAAGAGATATGAACTGTTCCTACCAACAAAACAAAACAAAATGGTAATTATGTGAGGTGATGGCAGTGTCAACTAGCATTGTACTGGCAATCAATCATATCGCAATGTATAAATGTATCAGATCAACGCATTGTGCACCTTAAACTCACACAATGCAATATGTCAATTATATCCCAATCAATAAAAGTAAAAAGGAATGAGGTGCTGCCCTGACAGGTGTGCTCCATGGTTAGAGCATCGGCCCAAACACTGGGCTTGATTCTCAGGTTTGATTCCTGGTCAAGGGCGTGTACCTGGGTTGCAGGTTGGATCCCCACCAAGACAAGTGGATGTGTCTCTTTTCTCTCTCTCTCTCTCCCCCGCCCCTTCCACTCTCTCTAAAAATCAATGGTAAAAAATATCCTCAAGTGAGGATTAACAAAACAAAAAAAGGGAATGAGGTGCTGATGCATGCTGCAACACAGATGAAAACATTATGCCAAGATACAAAAGACCGCCTGTTAAGTGGTTCCATTTCTATGAAATTTCCAAGAAAGTCAACCCTGTAGAGACACAAAGTAGATTGCCTGGGGCTGGTGGTAGAAATGGGATAAACTGTAAAGGGGAATTTGAAATCTTAGTGGAGCTGTGGAAGATTCTAAAACTGGATTGTGGCAATGATTGCATAAATTGGGAAACAGTAAAAGTCATTGAATTATGCACGCACAAAACTCTTTCTAGGAAGTTTTTTCTGAGTGCCTCCTCAGACTCTACTGCTGATGTGACTGTCATTCTATGTCAGGAATCAGCAGGCTTTCTCTAAAGGCCAAATACTAAATGACTGGAACTGGAGAGCATTATGCTGAGTGAAATAAGCCAGTCAGATCTCACTCATTTGTGGAATATAGAGAACAACATAGACTGATGAACAGGGTCAGATCCAGAGATGGAGAAACAGTGATCAGACTGTCAATTCCAGGAGGGAAAGTAGGGGAGGGTGGTGGTAAGGGGAAGAGATCAACCAAAGGACTTGTATGCATACATATAAGCCAAACCAATGGACACAGACAACAGGGGGATGAGAGCATGGAGGGGGGAGGTTGGGGGTTAATGGGGGGATGAGGACACATTTGTAATACCTTAACCAATAAAGAAATTAAAGATTAAAAAATACTAAATGACAAGACACTGGGTATCCATTGCGACTATGCAATTTTGCTGTAGTTGCAGAAAATTCCAACTCCTGGGGGATATCATCAGGTGAGAATTAAGAACTCAATGATCCAACCTTGTGGTCTGTGCTCCTAAAAGCTGAAGCCAAAACAGCTTGAGAGCCGAAACCGGTTTGGCTCAGTGGATAGAGCGTCGACCTGCGGACTGAAAGGTCCCAGATTCGATTCCGGTCAAGGGCATGTACCTTGTTGCGGGCACATCCCCAGTAGGAGATGTGCAGAAGACAGCTGATCGACGTTTCTCTCTCATCGATGTTTCTAACTCTCTATCTCCCTTCCTCTCTGTAAAACATCAATAAAATGTATTTTTTAAAAAAAAGAAAAACAGCTTGAGAGCAAAGAAATGTTAAGGAGTGTGCCTGGAAATGGTTCTTTAACAAAAATAGACATTGTTGTGTTTAAGGTCTCCATTTGTGGCTCTGGCAGATGGAAATAGATTAGATATAGATTAGATAGATGGGTGGGTGGATGGATGGATGGATGGATGATGAAATGAAGGAATAAAGGATCATGGATAGATGATGGATGATAAATGGATGGATGGAAGGATGGATGGACAATGGATGAATGGATAGATGGATGGTGGGTGGATAGATGGAAAGGTGGATGATGGATAGATGGACAGACAGACAGATGCATATATAGATGAGGTGATGGATAGATGGATGGATGATGGAAAGAAGGAAGAAAGGAAGAAAGGAAAGAAGGAAAATGGATGGATGGTTGGATAGATAATAGATGGATGATAAATGGGTAGATGGAAGGATGATGGACATATGGATGATGAATAGATGGATAGACAGATGGGTAGATAGATAGTAGATAGATGGATGGATGGATGGATGGATGGATGGATGGATGGATGGTGGATGGATGGATGGATGGATGGATGGATGGATGGATGGATTGGTTGGTATGGATATTTTTCCCTAGTGTCAGAGACAGGAAACCCTATCTAACTACTTTTGACCTGTCTGCCTCTGAGTAGAGCATTCACTTATCTTCTAAGTTCTGGAGAAACCCTTCTTTTCAGCCACAGACACCTCCAATTACAACCTCTACACCATGTTACCCTACATTGATGGTGGACACACACACACACACATACACAGGCTTTTTCTTTCCTTGCTTATGGTACCAGATTTCAGTAAGTAACTCAAATAAACATGTGGGGGAATCCATCCTTACTTCTTCCCTTTCCTATAAGCCCCAGAATCAACCACTCATTACATCTCTGTTATTTCTAGCCCTGGCTCTGTAGTTCAGTTGGTTAGAGTGTTGGTCCTGATATGTCAAGGTTGTAGGTTCAATTTCCAGTCAGGGCACACACAAGAATCAACCAATGAATGCATATATAAGTGGAACAACAAATCAATGTTTCTCTCTCTCAAAGTAAAATTGATGAATAAAAAATTTTCTAAAGAATTCAGTTTCATCTCAGTCATAAACTTCTGTTGTTGGATTATACCAATGGAAGCTATTTATGTTGATTTGTTTTAAATTTTACTATTTTTATTGATTTTAAAAAGAGAGGAAGAGAGAGATAGCAACATCGATGAAACTTGCACACCTCCTACTGAATTGAGCCCACAACCCGGGTATGTGCCCTAATTGGGAATCAAACCTCAACCTCCTGGTTCATGGGTCGAAGCTCAACCACTGAGCCACACTGGTTGGGCTTGATTTTTTTAAATGAGAGTCAGGTTAGAGTGTGAGCTTCAGGATGATTTTGAGGGCTGGTGAACAAGCCTGGAGATGCCTGGTCAGGGATGCCCTGATACACCCACAGGCCAGGAGGTCTGATGTGGGCACTGCCGATCCTACCACAGACCACCCATCCCACAGCCTCATTGCTGCTCCGTCATCAGCAGGAGCTTTGCACCCTCGCAATTAGTCACCAGCAGCTCTAGCCCAGCATCCCACCTGCAACCAAGAGGGGCAATGGGAACTCCACCTCAATGCCCCTATACTTCCTTGAGCCACGGATCTCATGAAACGGAGGCTGGGGAGAGAATGGCCTGGCATTTACTGCTCCCCTGGGGAAGAAATGTTATTCTTATACCCCAGTAAAAATTATTTTTTTTAATCCTCATTGGAGGATATTTTTCCATTGATTTTTAGACAAAGTGGAAGGAAGGGAGGAGGGGGGAGGGAGAGAGAGAGAGAAGTAGAGGGAGAGAGACAGCGCCCTAACTGGTTTGGCTCAGTGGATAGAGCGTTGGCCTGTGGACTGAAGGGTCCCAGGTTCGATTGCTGTCAGGGGCATGTACCTTGGTTGTTGGCACATCCCTAGTGGGAGGTGTGCAGGAGTCAGCTGATCGGTGTTTTTCTCTAATCGATGTTTCTAACTCTCTATCCCTCTCCCTTCCTCTCTGTAAAAAATCAATAAAATATTTTTTAAAACGGGACAAAGAAAAAAAAATGTAAGTGGGGCCCAGAACATACAAATCAGATTAGACTGACAGCAGGGCTTCTTGTTTCTTTTTGTTTATTTTGGTTTGTTTTCGTATTTTGGGGGGTGTTTGTGAGCTATAGTGGCAACATTTATTAGCGAGCCCTTGACAAGACAGCCACAGTGGGCGAGGCACTACCGGGGCGGGTCCAGCAGTAGGAGCCGGTGGACCTTGGGGATCTGCCCCCCAGAAACACGACACCTATATCTCCTTCTGCTCTGACAGCAATTTGAGGTTTAGACGGTTAATGACTTCATGCTGTCAGCTGTGGCTGCAGGCCTCCCAGAGGAACTAGGAAAAGGGATGTGGACCCGCCTTCGCTTTCCCTTTGGGGGCGGGGCCACGCCCACACTCCCTGGAGGGCGGGGCCACTTTCACACAAGTCTGCCAAGCATTCCTGAGGCCAGCAGCCAGCCAGGACCCACGATGATGTCCCTGGTTCTTCCCACCCTGCTCTACCTCGGTGAGTCTGGACAGAGGGGCGGGCAGGAAGGTGGTTCTGTCAAGCTGGGCTGTGCTCACCTGTGTTTCCTTTCAGGGTTTTATCTAACCCAGAGCAGTTGGGTTCAGAAAGGTGAGTATTCCCTTTAATATTCCCAAGGACTAGGTAGGGTTTGGCCTGATTTCCGCTCTTGGGGCTGGGAAGAGGGGTCCTGACCCTTAAAATCGTGGCTGTAAGAGGGAGGAAGTAGAGGATGGCAGGAGAAACAGACACACCTGTAAATTTGTTACCTCTTCTTCTAGGAAGTCTTCCACCACCTGTTATCACAGCTCAGCCTGGATCCATGGTTCTATATAATGAACCAGTGACCATCCTATGCCAAGGGCCACCCGACGCTGAAGCCTACGAGATATATAAAGTGGAAGAACCTGAGCCCAGGGACAGAAGGAAATTACTGGTGGCTGGGAGAACCAACACTTCATATATCCAAGAGATGAAACCAGACAAGACAGGACTGTACCGCTGTTCCTATAAAAGTGGAGAACACTGGTCCCTGTTCAGTGACCCCCTGCGTGTGGTGATGACGGGTGAGTGGGACCGGGGCAGCAGGACCAGGAGGGACCTATTTGCAGATACAGAGATACAGAGCAGGAAGCAACAAAGCCTCTACCTCTAGGAAGGCATCAGGGATGATGCAGAGACACATTCCCTCAGGGTGGGACATGGAGGGGATAGAAGCCAGAGCCACGTCTGCTCCCGGGAAACAGGAAAGGACAGCGCATGGACATGGCTTCCCCTTTATCAGCAAACTTCCTTCATTCTCAGGAACTTTTGACAAACCCTCCCTCTCAAGCATGAGTGGCACGGTGGTGGCTTCAGGAGACAATGTGAAGTTACAGTGTTTCTCCAGAATCAGATTTCATGCATTTATCCTCACCAAAGAAGACGCACCTCAGTTCACCCAGAGACAAAGCTCCATAACCCAGGACAATGGACAGCAGACCACCTTCCACATGGACCATGTCATGTCCACACAGGCAGGGACCTACAGTTGCTACGGTGCCTTCAGCAAAGACCCCTATGTGTGGTCTCACCCCAGTGACCCATTGCAGCTTGTGGTCAGAGGTGAGGAAGGCCCTCCATCCCCATGTCCCCTTCTGGAGATGACACTGTCCACTTAGGGAGTGACTGGAAGAAAGAGAAGAGTCTGGTGGGTAACCCTTGGCAATAACCATCTGCTTCCACAAAAGCCACAAGCACCCCACCCACACACACCATGCAGGCCTCCTAGAAATAGCCAGGGGAAACACTTTTTGAAGCATGTGATTATCTAACCACTAGGTTGTACACCTGAAAATAATACCAAGTGATAGTGAATGTAAACTGTAATTGGAAATTTAAAAAGTTTTTAAAAGCCTTAGCTGTTCTCACCCAATGTTTCCTTCCAAGGTTGCATCTAGCCCAGAGCACTCAGGCTCAGAATGCTGAGTATCCTTTTACTGTTCAAGGACTCAGTAGGGTTTGGCCAGATATCAGCTCTCTTGGGGGCTGGGAAGAAGATCTTGGCATTTAAGCTCGTGGCTGTAAAGGGGGAGGAAGTGGATGGTGGCATGAGAAACAGACACACCTGTAAATTTATTTCTTTCTTCTAGGAAGTCTCCCCCCACCTGTTATCACAGCTCAGCCTGGATCCATGGTTTTATATAATGAACCAGTGACCATCCGGTGCCAAGGGCCTCCAGGCGCTGAAGCATACAAGATATATAAAGTGGAAGAACCTGAGCCAAAGGATGGAAAGAAATTACTGGTGACTGGGAAGACCGACACTTCAGCTATCCAAGAGATGAAACCATACTGGACAGGACCGTACTGCTGTTCCTATCAGAGTGGAGGACACTGGTCCCCACTCAGTAACATCCTGCATCTGGTGATGACGGGTGAGTGGGTCCCAGGCAGCAGGGAGGGACCTCTTTGCAGCAGGAAAAGCAGGAAAACCAGGCTCTGAGATACGGAGCAGGAAGCAGCAAAGCCTCTACCTCCAGGAAGGAATCAGGGATGATGCAGAGACACATTCCCTCAGGGCTGGACATGGAGGGGATAGAAGCCAGAGCCACATCTACTCCCTAAAATAAGAAGGGACAGTGCATGAATGTGGCTTCTCCTTTATCAGCAAACTTCTTTCTTCCCCAGGATCTTATGACAAACCCTCACTCTCGACCATGAGTGGCACGATGGTGGCTCCAGGAGACAATGTGACTTTACAGTGTTTCTCCAGAATCGGATTTCAGGCATTTATTCTCACCAAAGAAGATGCACCTCAGTTCACCCAGAGACAAAGCTCCACAACCCAGGACAATGGAAAGCAGACCACCTTCCACATGGACCGTGTCACCTCCACACAGGCAGGGACCTACAGATGCTACGGTGCCTTCAGCAAAGACCCCTATGTGTGGTCTCACCCCAGCGACCCATTGCAGCTTGTGGTCAGAGGTGAGGAAGCTGGTCCATCCCCATGTCCCTTTCAGGAGATGACACTGTCCACTTAGAGCAGTGACTGGTAGGAAGCCGTGTCCACACTATCAGCTTCCATAAAAATTATGAGGACTTCACCACTCACCTATCATACAGGCCTCTGACACATACCTAGGGGCTGGGATAGTATGTAGGTCGTTGTGAATCTGAGGAGACAGAGCCTGAGCACAGATAAGGAAATCATCCCCATTTGCAGAAGCTGCTGAGAATCCTGATCCCACAGAATTTAGCCATCCTCATGGTGAATAACTGGTAGTCTTTTTTTTTTTTTAACTGTAAGACCATTTATTGGGTAAATTACAGAGGTAGAAGAAGTAAGTCCTAGAAGAAAGGGGCTTAGGAAACAAGTTGTGGAGGTAAAACAAGGGCCTGTGGAGTTTGGCAGTGAGGAAGCTAGTGGTATTGTGCCTGGAAGGGGAAGCAGGGAAGAAAAGGGGAGATGGAGACGGAAGGGAATGTCACAGGTGGGCTCTGTGAGTGGAGAGCGCCAACGGGTAGTCTTTGCAGAAGGAGCAGGAAAAGTGAAGGAAGATTAGGTGCAAAGGGACTGAGGGAGAATCTTCGACTAAAGACACAAGGAATATCAGAGAGGCCATTCCCCATCAGCTGAGTCAATAGTTTGCAGAAGGGCATCCCAAAAGACCAGGGCTCCCATGGAGAAGACTGAAAGCTCCCCACCCAGCCCCCAGCCCAGCCTTTCATAACCCTAGAATTCCTTAAGGCAATCACCACAGGGCTCATTATGACGAGAGGAAAGAAGGCAGATATTGCTTATGCAGACGGTGGCTGGGCAGCGACCTCCCAGATCCAGGAGACTGGAGACATGAGCTCAGGTGGAGGGCACTTACCTGAGAGGGGCTTTGGCTCCTCCTCTGTGACCTCTGTCCTATCTCTCTCAGGACCTGCTGGTTGGAGTGTGTCCCCTGAGAACCAAGTCCGGCTAAGCCTGGCTGGCCTGGTTCTCTTGGTCCTGGTGGTCCTGGTGGCAGAGGCCTGCTACAGCCACAAGAGGTCCGTCTATGGACTCAGATCAGCTCCTTATCTGAGCATCATGACAAACACCTAGGACACTCGTGGGTCTAAGGACAGTGTTGACCTGAGGGGCGGATGACCAGAGGAAACCAGGCGCTGGCTGTCTTGTCTACCAGATGATGGGGTGTGTCCGTCTCCTGCAGAATCTGTCACAATGTCCCAGCATCACAGTGAATTAATGCAGTACTAATGGGTTCTCTTGGAGGTCTGAAGAGCAAATGCCTAAAATGTGTCCACTGGACAGCATGGCGTTTTTTGTAACTGATCTTTTATTGTTGGAAATATTACAGATGTTCCTTTCTTTTCCCCATGGACCCATCCAACCTGCACCCATGCCCCCACCCAGGCCTTCACTGCATTATAACCTGTGTCCATAGTTTTAGCATATGTGCAGATAAGTTCTTCCCGACCCCCAACCCCCTCTGTCTGAGACTCATGCTTCTGTATCTCTGGATCTATTTTGTTCATCAGTTTATTTTGTTCATTAGATTCTACATATGAGTGAGATCAGTGGTAACTGTCTTTCTCTGACTGGCTTAGTTCACTCACCAAGAAAAATTAAAAATGAAACTTCCATTTGACCCAGTGATCCCACTCCTAGGAGTATATCCTAAGAAGCCCAAAATACCAACCAGATAGAATATATGCACCCTATGTTCATAGCAGGGTTATTTACAATAGCTAATATCTGGAAACAGCCCAAGTGCCCATCAGCAGATGAGTGGATTCAAAAGCTGTGGTACATTTACACAATGGAATAGTATGCAGCTGTACAAAACAAGGATCTATGCTATTTTTCATGAAATTTATTGGGGTGACATCCTATATAATAAAAGCGTAATATGCTAAGTGTCCGACTGATTGGTCAACTGTTTGGTAAACCACTCAACCAATCACTATGATGCACACTGACCAACAGAGGGGAAGACACTGTCATAAGTAAGTTAGCTCACTGCTGGGGTCCAACGCCCTGGAGCCAACCTCACATGGTCCTTCCCTGGCCGGCCAGCCCCCATCAGCCCTGACCCAGGACTGGGCAAGATTGCCCCAATAGGCCCTGATTGCCGGCCAGGCCAAGGGATCCCACCAGTGCACAAATTCCTGCACTGGGCCTCTAGTTAGTTAATAAGATTATATAGGTTTCAAATGAACAATTTTATGATACATGACCTACATATTGCATTGTATACTTCTCAACCATGAGAACAGATTAAATACTGTCATTTGTAACAACATGATTGGACCTTGAGAATATTATGCTAAGCAAAATGAGTCAGTCAGGAGAAGCTAAGAACTGTATCATTTCACTCACAGGTGGGATATAAAACTGAAACTCACAGATGCAGACAAGAGTGTGGTGGTCATCAGAGGGAAGGAGTGGAGGGGTAGTAAAGAGTAAAGGGGACTACCCAGCTGGCATGACTCAGTGGTTGAGCATTGACCAATGAACCAGGAGGTCATGGTTCAATTCCCATTCAGGCTCCATCCCCAGTGTGGGTGTGCAGGAGGCAGCCAATCAATGATTCTCTATCACCATTAGTGGTTCTCTCTCTCTCAAAAATCAGTTTAAAAATATACTTCTTAATAAAGTGGTAAAGGGGACAAAGTAGATGGTGAGCTAAGATGATTTGACTTTGGGTGGGTATGGAGGCTCCTCAAAAAATGAAGAATAGAGTTATCGCCTGGCTGCTGTGGCTCAGTTGGTTGAACGTCATCCCAGGCACCAAGAGGTCACTGGTTCAATTCCAGAACAGGGCACATGCCTGGGTTGCAGGCTCCATCCTCAGTAGGGGGCGTGCAGGAAATAGCTGCTTGATGTTTCTCTCTCGCTCCCTTCCTTTCTCTCTCAAATCAATAAAACACAGATAAGAGAGAAAGGTGGTATAAATGACTCAAAGGTAGTAGGATGATAGAGAAATATAATAAATTATATACATACATGGATAGTTACAATAGATATATACATGATAGAAAGGTAGGTAGATGAGAGAAAAAAAGCTGGTATGGAAGATAGATAGATAGATAGATAGATAGATAGATAGATAGATAGATATAGATATAACAGAAAATAGATGATAGATAAAAATAATAGATTTTAGATAGATACATATTAGTAACAGATGGAAATATACATGATAGTAAGTTAGGTAGACAAAAAATAAAGAAAGAGACACAGAAATACAAATGCATATTTTGTCCCAGTGTCAAAGAAAAGAATGTCTTACCTAACCATTTTGACCTGTCTGCTACTTCATCTTGGTTGGAATCTTCCATTATCTTCTTAAACCTGAGAAAAATCAAATTTCTCATCTGTGATTATCTCACCTTACACCCTCTGCTCTATGCCCAAGCCATACACCAAGGACACAAACACAGGGTCTCACTTCCTCAGCTAATTGAACAGGTTGTGGTGATGCTGGGGTTAAGCTTAGATGGATGTTGACTGAAACACCACAACAACAGGGAAACCCTAGAAGCAGTAGGAAATATTTCTGAACGTCAAGAACCAGGTAGGATTTATCATTGTTTACAGTGTCCTCAGGGTGTGATGAACGAAGACATGGCCAAATAACTTGAAACATTAACCCAATCAACACAGTTCTTGTGAAGATTACATGCAACTTTCTCCACGGAATCTTGATAAAATGAAAACCCAGTAAAGGTCAGCTGTTATATTACTTCAGATTTGTGTAGAAGAGTGACTCATGTCGGTGCAGAGAGGGGAAGATTTTAAATCTAAGTTACATGTTTATTGATAAAAGTGAATGGCATAGCTACTCAGTAAGGTCCAGCCAGTGAGATGGTTTAAAAAGAAAGACCCATTGCCCAGCCGATGGGGCTGAGTACTTGAGCACTGACCTATGAATCAGGAGGTCAAAGTTCAAATCCAAGTCAGGGCACATGCCTGGGTTGTGGGCTCAATCCCCTGTGAGGGCATGCAGGAGGCAGCCAGACAATGATTCTCTCTCATCGTTGATGTTTCTACCTCTCTCCCTCCCCCTTGCACTCTCTGAAATCAATAAAAACATATTTTTTAAAAAAAACATAACCAAAAAAGGTTGAAGAGAAGCCGGCACTCAAATAAACCTCTTTCCTTTTACCAGCAAAAATAAAAGAACCAAGGGATGGCAAAACACAGTGAAATTACCTAGCTTAGGTTCATCACTTTCATCCACGGACAGAGTCAGTGCTAACAATGCAGTGGGAACATGCACAGTCGGCAAAGAACTAATAATTATGTCATTGCCTCCCTAAGAGGGCCTGCTCTGGACCACATGCACACACTGTGAGTCTACCTTTGCAGAAAGACAGAATTATTGACTCATTTTGTACATGAACAGGAGAAAGCTCTGCATTTAGTAGCAGGAGCCATGAGCTCACAGTGTATTTCAGAGCCGATCTCAGACTGGGAACGACTTTTTCCTGTTCTTCATCTGTGATCCCACTTACTGCTCAATTCATACAGAAAGATTAAATGCCCATGAAGAATTAGGGACAGAAAATAGGGACCAGACTGGGCTGATGGAGGTTTAAAGTTCACATGACTAACATCATGATCAGCTGCCCCTGCAAGGCTTTAGCAGAAGACGTTGTGAAATGCCTTCACTCTGGGAGTGATAGCCAAGGCCCTCCCACCACTTCCTGTTCCTTGGTGTGACTTTCAGAGAAGTGTGTTCCGCATAAAGGCAGCATCGCTGAGGCCAACGGGCCAGAGAGGACCCAGAATCATGTCAGTGGTTCTTCCCACTCTGCTCTATCTCGGTGAGTCAGGACAGAAGGGTCGGGGTGCAAATACATGGCTGCCGGGGCAGGTCAGAGGTTCCATAAGGCTGGGCTGTTCTCCAATATGAATGAGCAAACAAAACAGAAACAGACTCAAAGACACAGAGAATAGACTGACGGTTGCCAGAGGAGAGTGTATGGGGACTGGGTGTAAAGGTGAAGGGATTGAGAAGTATAGATTGTGAGTTACAGAATCCTCATGGAGGTGTAGAGTACAGCATAGAAAATATAGCCAATACTATTGTAACCAGTATGTATGGTGCCATGAGGGTACTGGACATAGCAAGGGGAATCACTTCATAATGTATATGATTGTCTAACCACTAGGCGGTACACCTGAAACTAACATAAAATAATATTGAATGCAAACTGTAATTGAAAATATTAAAAATTTTTAAAGACTGAGTTGTTCTCACCCAATGTTTCCCTCCAGGATTGTATCTCACCCAGAGCACTCAGGCTGCGATCGGTGAGTATCCTTTTAATGTTTAAGGATTGAATAGAGTTTGGCCAGATATCAGCTCTCTTGGGGGCTGACAAGTGGGGTCTTGGCATTTAAACTCGAGGCTATAAAGATGAGGACGTGGAGGATGGCATGAGAAACAGATACAGCTGTAAATTTATTACCTGTTTTTCTAGCACAGCATCGCAAACCTGTTATCACAGCTCAGCCTGGATCCGAGGTTCAATATAATGAACCAGTGACCATCCGATGCCAAGGGCCTCCCTACGCTGAAGCCTACAAGATATACAAAAAGATAGAACCTGAGCCTAGGAATGGAAGTAAATTCCTGGTGGCTGGTAGGACCAACACTTTATATATCCAAAAGATGAAGTGGGACAATATAGGACTGTACCGCTGTTCCTATATGGGAGCAGGATTCTGGTCCCCCCTCAGCAACCCCCTGCAACTGGTGATGACAATGGGTGAGTGGGACCCAGGCAACAGGGCTGGGCGGGACCATTTTGCAGAGGGAGAACCAGGCTCTGAGATACGGAGCAGGAAGCAGCAAAGCCTCTACCTCTAGGAAGGCATCAGGGATGATGCCGAGACACGTTCCCTCAGGGCGGGACACGGAGGGGATAGAAGCCAGAGGCACATCTGCTGCTGGGGACAGGAAGGGACGTGGCCTGCCCTTTATCAACAACTTCCTTCTTTATCTGGATCTTATGACAAACCCTCACTCTCCAGCATGAGTGGCACAGTGGTGGCTTCAGGAGACAATGTGAAGTTACAGTGTTTCTCCAACACCACGTTTCATATATTTATTCTCAGCAAAGAAGATGCACTTCTCACCACTCAGACACAAAGCTCCACAGTCCAGGACAATGGACAGCAGACCACCTTCCACATGGACCATTTCATGTCCACACAGGCAGGGACCTACATGTGCTACGGTGCCTTCAGCAAAGACCCCTATGTGTGGTCTCACCCCAGTGACCCACTGCAGCTGGTGGTCAGAGGTGAGGAAGGCCCTCCATCCCCACGTCCTCTTCTGGAGATGACACTGTCCACTTAGGGAGTGACTGGAAGAAAGAGAAGAGTGTGGTGGGAAGCCCTTGGCAACACCATCTGCTTCCACAAAAGACACAAGCACCCCACCCGCACACACGCAGGCCTCCTAGATATAGCCAGGGGAAACACTTTTTGAAACATAGGATTATCTAACCACTACGCCATACACCTGAAAATAATGCAAAGTGATAGTGAATATAAACTGTAATTGACACTTTAAATATTTTTAAAAGCCTGAGCCATTCTCTCCCAACGTTTCCTTCCAGGGTTGCATCCAGCCCAGAGCACTCAGGCTCAGAATGCTGAGTATCCTCATAATATTCATGGATGGAGTAGGGTTTGGCCAGATATCAGCTCTCTTAGGGGCTGGGAAGAGGAGTCTTGACATTTAGAATTCTGGCTAAGAGGGGAGGTAGATGAGGGTGGCATGAGAAACAATTACACCTGTAAATTTATTACCTGTTTTTCTAGTTGGTCTCACCGCACCTGTTATGAAAGCTCTGCCTGGACCCATGGTTTTATATAATGAACCAGTGACCATCCTGTGCCAAGGGCCTCCGGACGCTGAAGCCTACAAGATATATAAAGTGGAAGGACTCGAGCCTAGGGAAGAACGCAAATTGCTGGTGGCTGGGAAACCTAACACTTTCTCTATCCAAGAGATGAAAGCAAACTGGACAGGACTGTACCACTGTTCCTACGAGAGAGGAGTGTGGTCCCCGCCCAGCGGCAACCTGGATCTGGTGATGACGGGTGAGTGGGACCCAGGCAGCAAAGCCGGGAGGGACCTCTTTGCAGAGGGAGAACCAGGCTCTAAGATACGGAGCAGGAAGCAGCAAAGCCTCTACCTCTAGGAAGGCATCAGGGATGATGCAGAGACACATTCCCTCAGGTGGGACACAGAGGGGATAGAAGCCAGAGGCACCTCTGCTCCTGGAGAACAGGAAGGGACGTGGCCTCCCCTTTATCAACAACTTCCTTCTTTCTCAGGATCTTATGACAAACCCTCCCTCTCGAGCATAAGTGGCAGGGTGGTGGCTCCAGGAAACAATGTGACGTTACAGTGTTTCTCCAGAATCAACTTTGATTCATTTATTCTCACCAAAGATGGTGCACCTCAGTTCACCCACAGACAAAGCTACACAGTCCAGGACAATGGACTCCTGATCACCTTCTACATGGACAGTGTCACCTCCACTCAGGCAGGGACCTACAGATGCTACGGTGGCTTCAACAAAAACTCCTCTATGTGGTCTCACCCCAGCGACCCATTGCAACTGATGGTCAGAGGTGAGGAAGCTGGTCCATCCTCACATCCCCTTCTGAAGATGACACTGTCCACTTGGAGCAGTGACTGGTGGGAAGCCGTGTCCACCCCATCAGCTTCCACAAAAGCTATGAGGTCCTCACCCCTAATCAGACCAGGCAGGAATTTGAGCACAGATAAAACATAACATCCCCATTTCATCCCCATTTGCAGCAGCTGCTGACAATTCTGATCCCACAGAACCCAGCCGTTCTCATGGGTAGTCTTTTTTTTTTTTTTTTTTTTTTTTTTAGTGTAAGAGACCATTTATTGGGTAAATTCCAGAGGTAGAAGTAAGTCCTATAAGAAAGGGCTTAGGTATCAAGTCATGGAGGTAAAGCAAAGGCCCATGGAGCTTGGCAGTGAGGAAGCTAATGGTAAGGTGCCTGGTGGGGGAAGTGGGAAAGAGAAAGGGAAATGGAGAAGCAAGACAATGGCACAGGCGTGGTATCTGGATGGAGAGCGCCAGAAGGAGCAGGAAAGGTGAAGGAAGATTAGCTGCAAAGAGAAATAGGGAGAAAAAAGATTCAACTAAAGACACAAGGAATATCAGGGAATTCATTCCTCATCAGCTGAGTCAATAGTTTCCAGAGGGATTTCTAAAAGAAGGACCAAGCAGGGCTCCCATGGAGAAGACTGGAAGCTCCCCACCCAGTTCCCACCCCTGCCTTTCATGACCCCAGAATTCCTTAAGGCAATCACCACAGGGCTCATAATGACAAGAGGAAAGAAGGCAGATATTGCTTATGCAGAAGGTGGCTGGGCAGCGACCTCCCAGATCCAGGAGACTGGAGACATGAGCTCAGGTGGAGGGCACTTTCCTGAGAGGGGCTTTGGCTCCTCCTCTGTGACCTCTGTTCTTTCTCTCTCAGGACCTGCTGGTTGGAGTGTGTCCCCCCAGAACCAAGTCCGGCTGAGCCTAGCTGGCCTGTTTCTCTTGGTCCTGGTGGTCCTGGTGGCAGAGGCCTGCTACAGCCACAAGAGGTCCTTCTATGGACTCAGATCAGATCCTTACCTGAGCGTCATGACAAACACTGAGGATACTCGTGGCATCTAAGGACAGTGTTGACCTGTGGGGCAGGTGACCAGAAGAAACCAGGCGCTGTCTGTGTTGTCTTGAATAGATCAAGTGATGGGGTGTGTCCGTCTCCTACAGAATCTGTCACAATGTCCCAACATCGTTGTGAATTAATGCAGTACTAATGGGTGTCTTGGAGGTCAGAAGAGCAAATGCCTAAAATGTGTCCACTGGCCAGCATGGCTTTTGTTAGAACTTATCTTTTATTGTTGGAAATATTACAGATGTTCCTATCTTTTCCCCATGGACCCCATCCAACCTGCACCCATGCCCCAACCCAGGACATCACTGCATTATAATATGTGTCTATGGTTTTTGCATATGTGCATATAAGTTCTTTAGTTCATCTCTTCCCAAACCCTGACCCCATTTGTCTGAGACTCATCAGTCTGTTCCATGCTTCTATGTCTCTGGATCTATTTTGTTCATCAGTTTATTTTGTTCATTAGATTCCACATAAGAGTGAGATCATCTTTCTCTGACTGGCTTAGTTCATTCACCATGAAAAATTAAAAGGGACCTTCCATTTGACCCAGTGATTCCACTCCTATGAATATATCCTAAGAAGCCCTATATACCAACCAGAAAGAATATATGCATCCCTGTGTTGATATCAATGTTATTTGCAATCGCTAATATCTGGACACAGCCCAAGTGCCCACCAGTAGATGAGTTAATACAAAAGTTTTGGTACATTCACACAATGGGATACTGTGCAGGTTTAAAAAAGAAGACTCTATGCTATTTTTCATTAAATTTATTGTGGTGACATTGGTTAATAAGATTATATAGGTTTTAAATGTACAATTTTATGATACATGATCTACATATTGCATTGTATACTCCTCTGCCATGAGAGCAGATGAAATACTGCCATTTTGCCATGAATGGACCTTGAGAATATTATGCTGAGCAAAATGAGTCCGTCAGGAAAAGCTAAGAACTGTATCATTTCACTCACAGGTGGGATATAAAACTGAAACTCATAGACACAGACAACACTATGGTGATTACCAGAGGAAAGGGAGTAGAAGGGCAAAGGGGACCACCCAGTGTGGTTTCTTGGTTGAGCATCAACCTATGAACCAAGATGTCACTGTTTGATTCCCTGTCAGGGCACATGCCCAGGTTCCAAGCTCCATCCCCAGTGTGGGACATGCTGGAGGCAGCCCATCAATGATTCTCTCTAACCATTAGTGTTACTATCTCTCGCTCTCTCTCTCAATCTGCATTCCTCTCAGAAATCAATAAAAATATATCTTTTTTTAAAAAGAGGTAAAGGGGACCAAATAGATGGTGACCTAAGAGGATTTGGCTTTGGGTGGTATGGAGGCTCCTCAAAAAATGAAGAATAGAGTTATCGCCCAGCTGCTATGGCTCAACTGGTTGAGCATCATTTCAGGCACCAAGAGGTCGCTGGTTCAATTCCAGGTTGGGTCACATGCCTGGGTTGCAGACTCAATCCCCAGTAGGGGGGTGCAGGACATAGCTGCTCAATGTTTTTCTCTCTCTTCCTTTCCTTCTCTCCCTCTTCCTTCTTTTCTCTCTAATATAAATAAAACATAAATGAGAGAGAAAGGTGGTATAGATGATTCATAGATAGATAGTTGGATGATAGGGAAATATAATAAATTATATATAGATACATAGATAGTTATAGATAGATATATACATGATAGAAGGTAGGTAGATGAGAGAAAGCTCGTATGAATGATAGATAGATGATAGATAGATAGATAGATAGATAGATAGATAGATAGATAGATAGATAGATAGATAGATAGATAGATGATAGATAACAAAAAACAGATGATAGATAAATATAATATATGATAGATAGATACTATTAGTAACAGATGGAAATATACATGATAGAAAGGTAGGTAGACAAAATATAAAGAAAGAGACACAGAACTACAAAGGCATATTTTGTCCCAGTGTCAAAGAAAAGAAAGTCTTATCTAACCATTTTGACCTGTCTGCTCCTTCCTCTCGGTTGGAATCTTCCACTATCTTCTTAATCCTGAGAAAACTCCAATTTCTCATCTGCGATTAAATCACCTCTGCTCTATGCCAGCCGTGGGCAAACTACGGCCCAAAGGCCAGATCCGGCCCATTCGGCTGTTCTATCCGGCCCGCAGAGCCGAAAGAGCAGAGGGTTCTCTTGCTCTCCCCTCCATTCCTTCACCAGCACCAGTGTTAACATGGCAACGTCGGGAAACACGGCCGCAGCTCCTTCTTCTGAGTCCAGTTTAAGAACCCACTGTGGCCCTCGAGTCAAAAAGTTAGCCCACCCCTGCTCTACGCCCAGGCCATACACCAGTGGCACAAACACAGGGTCTCACTTCCTCAGCTAATTGAACCGGTTGTGGTGATGCTGGGGTTAAGCTTAGATGGATGTTGACTGAAACACCACAACCACAGGGAAACCCTAGAAGCAGCAGGAGATATTTCTGAACCTGAAGAACCAGGTAGGATTTGTCATTATCTACAGTATCCTCAGGGTCTGAGGAATGAAGACATGACCAAATAACTTGAAACATTAACCCAATCCACCATAGTTCTTGTGAAGTTTATGTACAACTTTCCCCACAGAAATTTGATAAAATGAAAGCCCAGCAAAGGTCAGCTGTTATATTACTCAGATTTGTGTGGAAGACTGACTCATGTCTGGGCAGAGAGGGAAAGATTTTAAATCTAAATTATGTGTTTATTGCGAAGAGTGGATGGCATAACTACTCAGTAAGGTTCAGCCAGTGAGATGGTTTAAAAACAAAGAGGCATTGCCTAGCCGATGGGGCTAAGTAGTTGAACACTGACCTATGAACCAGGAGGTCATGGTTCGATTCCCTTTCAGAGCACATGCCTGGGTTGTGGGCTCGATCCCCTGTGTGCGGCGTGCAGGAGGCAGCCAGGCAATGATTCTCTCCCATCATTGATGGTTCTACCTCTCTCTCCCTCTCCCTTACCCTCTCTGAAACAATAAAAACATATTTTTTTAAAATAATCAAAACAGCCGAAGCCGGTTTGGCTCGGTGGATGGAGCGTAGGCCTGCAGACTGGGGGGTCCCGGGTTTGGTTCCAGTCAAGGGCATGTACCTGGGCTGCGGGCACATCCCCAGTGGGGGATGTGCAGGAGGCAGCTGATCGATGTTTCTCTCTCATCGATGTTTCTAACTCTATCTCTCTCCCTTCCTCTCTGTTAAAAATCAACGAAATATATTTTTAGAAAAACAATAACAACAAAGGGGTGAACAGAAGCCGGCATTCGAATAAACCTCTTTCCTTTTACCAGCAAAAATAAAAGACCCAAGGGGTGACAAAACCCACTGAAATTACCTTGCTTAGGTTCATCACTTTCATCCACGGACAGAGTCAGTGCTAACAGCATGGTGGAAACATGCACAGCAAACAAAGAACTAATAATTATGTCATTGCCTCGCTAGGAGGGCCTGCTCTGGACTACATGCACACACTGTGAGTCTAGCTTTGCAGAAAGACAGAACTATTGACTCATTTTATACATGAACAGGAGGAAGCTCTGCATTTAGTAGCAGGAGCCATGAGCTCACAGTGTATTTCAGAGCAGATCTCAGACTGGGAACTACTTCTGTCCTGTTCTTCACCTGTGATCCCTCTTACTGCTCATTTCATACAGAAAGATTAAATGCCCATGAGGAATTGGGGACAGAAAATAGAGACCAAGCTGGGCTGATGGAGGTTTGAAGTTCAGATGACTAACATCATGATCTCAGCTGCCTCTTCAAGGCTTTCACAGGAGATGTTGTGAAATGCCTTCACTCTGGGCGTGAGAAGCAAGGCCCTCCCACCACTTCCTGTGCTTGGTGTGACTTTCAGAGAAGTCTGTTCCGCTTAAAGGCAGCAGTGCTGAGGCCAATGGGCCAGAGAGGACCCAGAATCATGTCGGTGGTTCTTCCCACTCTGCTCTATCTTGGTGAGTCTGGACAGAAGGATCAGGGTGCAAACACAATGCTACTGGGGCAGGTCGGCGGTTCTATAGGGCTGGGCTGTTCTCCAATATGAATGAGCAAACAAAACAGAAACAGACTCACAGACACAGAGAACAGACTGATGGTTGCCAGAGGAGAGTGTATGGGGACTGGGTGTAAAGGAGAAGGGATTGAGAAGTATAGATTAGGAGTTACAGAATACTCATGGGAGCGTAGAGTACAGCATAGAAAATATAGCCTATAGTTTTGTAACCAGTATATATGGTGCCAGGAGGGTAGTGGACATAGCAGGGGAAGCACTTTGTAACGTATATGAATATCTAACCACTAGGCAGTACACCTGAAACTAATACAAAGTGATTATGAATGTAAACTGTAATTGAAAATTTAAAAAATGTTTTAAAGCCTGAGCTGTTCTCACCCAATATTTCCTTCCAGGGTTGCATCTAGCCCAGAGCACTCAGGCTCAGAATGGTGAGTATCCTTTTAATGTTCAAGGGCTGAGTTGGGTTTGACCAGATATCCACTCTCTTGGGGGCTGGGTAGAGGGGTCTTGGCAATTAGACTCGTGGCTGTAAAAAAAAGGGGGGAGGAAGTGGGAGGTGGCATGAGAAACAGATACACCTGTAAATTTGTTACCTGTTTTTCTAGGATATTTCCTCCCACCTGTTATCACAGCTCTGAATGAATCCATGGTTCTACCTAAAAATCCTATGACCATCCTGTGCCAAGGGCCTCCAGACACTGAAGCCTATGAAATATATAAAGTGGAAGAACCTGAGCCTAGGGACAGAAGGAAATTGCTGCTGGCTGGGAAGACCAGCACTTTATCTATCCAAGAGATGAAACCAGACAAGACAGGACTGTACCGCTGTTCCTATCAGAGTGGAGGACACTGGTCCTCACTCAGTGACATCCTGCGTGTGGTGATGACCGGTGAGTGGGAACCTGGCAGCAGGGCCGGGAGGGACCTCTTTGCACAGGGGAGAACCAGGCTCTGAGATACAGATCAGGAAGCAGCAAAGCCTCTGCCTCTAGGAAGGCATCAGGGATGATGCAGAGACACATTCCCTCAGGGCTGGACACAGAGGGGATAGAAGCCAGAGCCACATCTGCTCCCAGGAAACAAGAAGGGAGAGTGCATGGAGGTGGCCTCCCATTTATCAGCAAACTTCCTTATTTCCCAGGAACTTATGACAAACCCTCGCTCTCCAGCATGAGTGGCACGGTGCTGGCTTCAGGAGACAATGTGAAGTTACAGTGTTTCTCCAGTTTCAAGTTTGATGCATTTATTTTCATCAAAGATGATACACCTCAGTTTACCCAGAGACAAAGCTCCACAGCTCAGGACAATGGACAGCAGACCACCTTCCACATGGACAATGTCACCTCCACACAGGCAGGGACCTACAGATGCTACGGTGCCTTCAGCAAAGACCCCTATGACCCCAGCAACCCATTGCAGCTTGTGGTCAGAGGTGAGGAAGCTGGTCCATCCCCATGTCCCATTCAGGAGATGACACTGTCCACTTAGAGCAGTGACTGGTTTGGAAGACATATCCACACCATCAGCTGCCACAAAAGCTATGAGGTCTTCACCACTCACCCACCATGCAGGCCTCTGACACATGCCAGGGGCTGGGAGAGCATGTAGGTCACTGTGAATCTGAGGAGACAGAGCCTGAGCACAGATAAGGAAACCACCCTCATTTCATCCGCATTTGAGAAGCTGCAGACAATCCTGATCCCACAGAACCCAGCCGTCCTCATGGTGAATAACTGGTAGTCTTTTTTTTTTTTAACTGTAAGGAGCCCATTTATTGGGTAAATTACAGAGGTAGAAGAAGTAAGTCCTAGAAGAAAGGGGCTTAGGAAACAAGTTATGGAGGTAAAACAAGGGCCTGTTTGGCAGTGAGGAGGCTAATGGTAATGTTCCTGGCAGGGGAAGCAGGGAAGGAAAAAGGGGATGGAGAGGGAAGAGAATGGCACAGGGGTGCTCTCTGGATGGAGAGCGCCAACAGGTAGTCTTTGCAGAAGGAGCAGGAAAGGTGAAGGATGATTAGGTGCAAAGGGACCGAGGGAGAGAGAATCTTCGACTAAAGACACAAGGAATATCAGGGAGGCCATTCCCCATCAGCTGAGTCAATAGTTTGCAGAGGGGCATCTTAAAGAAGGATCAGGCAGGGCTCCCATGGAGAAGACTTAAAGCTCCTCACCCAGTCCCCACACCTGCCTTTCATGACCCCAGAATTCCTTAAGGCTATCACCACAGGGCTCATAATGAAGAGAAGAAAGAAGGCAGATATTGCTTATGCAGAGAGAGGGTGGCTGGGCAGCGACCTCCCAGATCCAGGAGACTGGAGACATGAGCTCAGGTGGAGGGCACTTACCTGAGAGGGGCTTTGGCTCCTCCTCTGTGACCTCTGTCCTATCTCTCTCAGGACCTGCCGGTTGGAGTGTGTCCCGTGAGAACCAAGTCCTGCTGAGCCTGGCTGGCCTGGTTCTCTTGGTCCTGGTGGTCCTGGTGGCAGAGGCCTGCTACAGCCACAAGAGGTCCTTCTATGGACTCAGATCAGCTCCTTAGCTGAGCATCATGACAAACACTGAGGATACTCATGGTATCTAAGGACAGTGTTGACCTGAGGGGTGGGTGACCAGAGGAAACCAGGTGCTGGCTGTGTTGTCTACCAGATGATGGGGTGTGTCTTTCTCCTGCAGAATCTGTCACAATGTCCCAACATCACAGTGAATTAATGCAGTACTAATGGGTGTCTTGGAGGTCAGAAGAGCAAATGCCTAAAATGAGTCCACTGGCCAGCATGGCTTTTGTTATAACTTATCTTTTATTTTTGGAAATATTACAGATGTTCCTATCTTTTCCCCATGGACCCCATCCAACCAGCACCCATGACCCCACCCAGGACATCACTGCATTATAATCTGTGTCTATGGTTTTTGCATATGTGCATATAAGTTCTTTGGTTCATCTCTTCCTGACCCACTTTGTCTGAGACTCATGCTTCTATGTCTCTCGATCTATTTTGTTCATCAGTTTATTTTGTTCATTAGATTCTACATATGAGTGAGATCAGTGGTAACTGTCTTTCTCTGACTGGCTTAGTTCACTCACCAAGAAAATTTAAAAATGGGACTTCCATTTGACCCAGTGATCCCACTCCTAGGAATATATCCTAAGAAGCCCTATATACCAATCAGAAGAATATATGCATCCTATGTTCATGGCAGTGTTATTTACAATAGCTAATATCTGGAAATAGCCCAAGTGCCCATCAGTAGATGAGTGGATGCAAAAGCTGTGGTACATTTACACAATGGAATACTATGCAGCTGTACAAACAAGGATCTATGCTATTTTTTCATGAAATTTATTAGGGTGACATCCTATATAATAAAAGCCTAATATGCTAAGTGTCTGACTGATTGGTCTATATGTGACACAGCACCAGAGTTAAGTTAGAGTTTTTCAAAATGCTGACACGCCGAGCTCAAAAGGTTCGCCATCACTGGTCTACAGTGTCATCAGGGTCTGATGAACGAAGACATGACTAAATAACTTAGAACACTAACCAAATCACCACAGTTCTTTTGAAGATTATGTGCCTCTTTCCCCACAGGAACTTGATAAAATGAAAACCCAGTAAAGGTCAGCTGTTATATTACTTCAGATTTGTGTGGAAGAGTGACTCATGTCAGTGCAGAGAGGAGAAGATTTTAAATCTAAGTTATATGTTTATTGAGAAAAGTGGATGGCATAGCTACTCAGTAAGGTTCAGCCAGTG